CACAGACGCCTTCATCACTGGAATCTCCCTTCTGCAACATACTCAAGATGGGAGTTAATTGGTCAGTACTGCAGCTCTCCAGACTGATATTATAATAATACTGTTTTATCTACACTGTCAGCCTTTGGTTTATAGAAGCAATTGAAGAACTTGATCAATTTAGGTTTTAAAGCCCTAAACAGTCTGGAACTTGCCAATTTAAGAAACGAATACTTTTCCCACACAACACTACCATGGCTGCATCCTGGGGAGATCCTTAAAGTGAGTCTCGGTCCACTTACATAAGCGATGATAAGTCTTTAATTTTGGGCTTTATGACCTCCAGCCTCCTCCATAATAGACTATAAACAATTACAGGGCAATCTGTAAGGTTCATCTGTTTTCCCAGGCATGTGCAGAAGATAGAAGTATAAACTGAACATACCAGGACCTCATCAAAAAGAATGCAATACTGTTCTGCTTACATAGTTATTTGGGTTAATTGGAGAATTTGGTAAAGAACTAGCCTGACTTGGAGTATAATACTGTAGAAAGTTTTAAAATGTGTAGGACTCTGGACAGGCATCTTTTTGTTTTTGGAAGCCTTAAACAAAAATCAATATATTAAGATTATAGGACAAGGTTAAGCGACCTCTAGCATCACTACAGGAGTGCAAAGAGGATTTGAAGATGCCTCTCAAGTGCTAGATGGAGATTACTGCACCAGAAGGAAATCCCTTGCCAGCGTAGGCAGCTCTAAACTAATCTGGCCTCCCTATCTTCCACACACAGCGTTCTGTGCGAGACCCCCAACCAGCCAGCCTATGAACAAGTGCCTGTAGCTGCTGCAACTCCATGATGGCAGCTGGCCTCATGGTGCTTGCAGTTCCTTTCATCTCCTCTTTCTTGTTGCCGCTCAAGCTGCACTAAGCATGAGCACACAGCTCAGGTTCTACCCTTAAGAAAATGTTGTATCTGTACGTGGTACAAATTGAGAAACAATCAGGGCGAGGCTGATTTTATATCCTGCTATTCCATTGTCATGCAGTGCAGAGGATTTTTCTTTCTTCCTTCAAAACAACCCATAAGACAAATAAAATAACTCTTTATCTCGTCAACCCCTAAAACCCTAGAGTTAACACAATTACAGTAAATCTATTATCTTTAAATGCAGAAAATAAATGTTTTGGACATGAAGTGTACACAGTGCCCTTTAGCAAACCCTGCAGCTGGTTTCATTCTCTTTTGTAAGGAAGATGTTTGCTTAGAGTCACAGATGCTACTCTTTATCCTGAAAGCTGTACAGTTATACAGTTCAGGACTTTTTAGCCAGTTATTTCTGTTTACATTTAAAGTGCTGCTTTCTTATTAAGTTGCCACACTGACTTATATTGAAGAAGCAGAGGGTTTAAATTTTTTATTTTACTTATTATTTCTTTTTACGAAAACTTTTAAAGTGGTCCTCTCCAATGCTCAAACCTAACAAAGCACACCTGGAAAGTCACTAACTTGGTGCTTGCTGTGTTTAGATATTTTAGAGACCATATGGTTTATATCATCCCATGCTATGAATGCTGTGGGATTTATCCTTTCCATCTCAATCTCCATTATAACAGGATTTTGCTTGTTTTACAACTTGTTTAAATGGCGTTCTAAGAAATGGCTGGGCATACTGATGTAGTGCTTCATAAAGGTAAGAGGTGCCCTGAGAACTTCATTCCATTAGTAGCCAGCAACCCGTCATGGGAAAATTACAGAAAACACAAAAACCAAATATCCCAGCAGAAGTGCACCTCTAACAAATGCTCGGTTTCATACCATTCCACATGGCTCTGGGTAGCTAATAAATGACCTGCACTAGAAAAATAATTCAATCAAGGTTCTCCCAGGACCTTTTAGGAAAAGAAAGACAGCCTCAGTGCTCTTGCAAGGTGCTATACAGAAGGCATTATAATATACACTATTACAGATTTACAAAGGGAGCCTACATCATCCTTGTTATACAACTCCACTGAGTTCAGCAGAGGAATGAATTTCCCATATACTTTAAGGCAGCGTTTCTCAACCCATGGGGTGTGACCCAAAAGTGGGTCGCAAGAATATATGAAAAGGTTGCGAACAAACTTTAAAAGTGGATCAACAAACTTTAAAAAAATGGATTCTCCTTTAAAGGAGAAAAATATTGGAAACTGTAGCATTTCTCTTGCAGGCTAGGAGAGTTCCAGTCTGCAAGGGGTTTCTTGGGGCCCTCCCTGCCCCACATCCTCCCCCCACTGCCCCAGACACACATCCCTGCCCCACACACTGGAGGGCTGGAGCCCAGTAAAAGTTGGGGGGTCATGATCCTTATTTCCACTTCTTAGTGACTCATTCTTATGGCTCAGATGAACATATCTTGTAAGAGTAAATGCACTGTTTTTTCAGAGACTCAAGCAGGATGGAATAAGATCACACTTAGGTACCCAAGTATGCTCTTGAGGCCTAATTGGTGGAACAGAATCTGCACTTAGCAACTTTCCTTAGCTCAAACACTAAATTAGGGATGACATCAGAAAGAAACTCCAGGAATTTTGATTCCTAGCCAGCCAAAGTCATGTTTTCACTGCAGTAGCCCCCAGAGGAACAGGTTCCCTGTCTCTAGGTAGTTTTCCACTACATGCTGGGCACTCTCTGGAAGGGATGCTCTCAAGCACAACCTTCCCATTGGCTCCCACTCACACACACCATCTTGCCAGTGCTGCTCTCAAGATCTCTGGTGTGCTCAAGAAGAGTTACCATGGGTTCCCCTTTGGGGTCTTCGTGTCCACATTTCTGGGTTTGGAATATGCAAATGGGACTGGGTGGACAGGGTATGCTTGAAAGAGCAGTATCACATTCTTGGGTGTCCCTGGGATGTAGTGTAGACATCCTCTCTGATATCCAATGGGGCTTTTCCCTCTCCCTTTCTAAACCAGTTTAATTAAGAACTTCTATCTCATCAACCCCTGCACACCTCTCACCAGAGTCTACTGTACTCCCTTTTACTCTGTTAGTTCTTTTTTTTCAGTTCTGCAGTTTTTTTACGAAAATGCTGTGAGCAGCCAGAGCATTCTTGGCAGAGGCACTTTACGAGCAAAACTTCTTTTATTTCAGCTCAGATGTATCCTTTTACACACAAATATATGGTACAAAGTCCTCCTATGCTAGAAGAATAAGTGGGGGTTGGACAAGAATTTTGATTCACAGATTTTACAGCTAGAAAGGCTCATCAAATACAATCAGGTTCAAGTCAGGTATTAATATACTTCTGAAAGCTCAAAAAGCCACAAAGTAGTCTTTTACTATTTCCCTAGGCTTCAACAATGTTAAATGACCTAGGATCTTTCATTTCCTAGACTATCCATGCAGCAAAGCAAGCAATGGAACACTGCAACCTACAATTTCCTTCACTTCCTCATTTTGTGAATCAGGTCAGACATCTTTGATCTAGGCTGTTTCCTGAAAAACAAGGACTTTTATTCATCATGCCTGCTGTAGCCCTAAAACTGAACAAAAAGCTAGAACAAATCTTATAGAAAGTCCAAGCAATCTGGTTTTAAACACCTTGAGTAACAGAGAATTTGCCACCAACTTTGATAAGTGTTCCAGTGGCTCACTGTTCTCTCTGAACGCACACTTTATTTGCCCAGAGTGAACAAACAGTATTGCCATTATCCCAGAATATTTTGAGGTCATGGGACAGTCAGATGTTAAGTACATTATAAGTACACCTATGTTTTTTGAGGTCTTTCAGCAGCTCTTGAAATAAATAAGAAAGCTGCCATGTTTACATACAATAGTTTATTCTGTGTATGGAGGGGTGTGTGTCTGTTGGGGGAGGAGAATTGAGCGTGCAAGAAAGGGATTTTTTAAAAATGTATTATATCATGAATTATTACCATTAGTAAATTCAATTTGTAAATGCATATTGTCACTGGGTCTTAATACTGCTATGTTATGCGGCTGTCAAAAATAAGTTGGCCTTAGACAAGATAGAGTTTTACTTTGGGGGACAGCTGGAGCCAGCAGACCAAGAAAAAATGCATTTTAAACATTTTTCATGTTTCAAGGAAACTTTATGTCCCTGACTGCTGAGAAATACAAGCCACACAATTAAAACAACATCAACTTTTAAATGTTAACCCCAAATCCAAATGCCAGGTGCAAATTTTCCTCACTCTGTTTAGACCTCCTTTTCAGACCAGAACATTACGACCCAGACTCATTATTTTTTGTTATAAATGAGAATCAATTTGCTAGTAAGCCAGGAGGAATATTTAATTTCCAAAGGTTTTATTAATGACTGCACTGTCACTAACGTGTGCTAGGTCAAACACGCCCTGTTATTGTCCATATTTACCTCTTCTTCTGTTTTGGAATTTATTTCCAAATTAAGTAACCAAGTCTCAAGGTAGTGCTGTATTAACTAATATAAATCTTAATTTTCATATTCCTCCATGAGCTCTCTGTTCCCAGGGTTTGGCTTTCCAGTACTTTCTCAAATGGCAACTTCAAACACCTGCATTAGTTGGTCTTAGCCAAGATCAGTGGTGTTTGCATGGCCTACTGGGTCTGGTGGCTAAGGTGAGTCTAAACACCATCACAGGGTCTTAAAAGCTTGAAACATACCCTACCACTCCACTCAGTCTCTGATGATTGAGACACTATTCCATATCATTTTGTTTGATCCATACCCAGAAAAAATACAAAATGTATTTTATCTTTAAATATAGAAATAAATATCAGGCATTAAAAAGAATATACAAATCAAGTAGCCAACTAAATGCCAGACTCCCCTCAAATAAAAGGACAATGTCTTCCTCTTGAAGGAGCTCCCAACTTCTCCACCTCCTTCCAAAATTCCTCCAACCCCTCCAAAAAAATATCTTCAATACACACCACCACCACTACCACCCCTCAAAAAACACCTACAAATACATATACTTCCAACTGTATTTCTTTGTGCACTGACAACATTAGTACTCAAAAACAAAGTATCTTACCAACTTCAGTCATGTAGGATTTTCCATCTGCAGGCAAAGGAATATATTGGTTGGAGTAGAAGCTACTTCCATACCCCACAATGAAACCTTCGAGTTTGGTGTTTGGATTTGGCCGAAGATATTTCATGCAAATGGTGTCACCAGTTGTGTTAATCTGCACTTTCAGGCCTTGTCTCTTAACTGGAGAGAAGCAGGGAGGAAAAAAAGAAGAAAGAAAGAAAGGGGAAAAAAAAAAGGTGAGGAGTTACCATCTTCCAAATGACTAATTAAAATTAGAACACACAGTGGCTCAGTATGTTAGTTGTGACAATTGCTTTGAAAAGATACCATCAAGTTGAAATCTAGTTTATTAAAAAAAATAAGTCTTTTATAACCACAATTTTATTTTGCCTATCTCCTTTCTTGAAGTGGGAAAGATATATAAACAAACAAACAGGGGAAACTGTATAGATCACTACATGCTAACTACTGTCAAAATGCCTGAAGTAAACTGAAAAAGAAGTGAAAGTTATCTTTTCCTTTAAATTACTTCACTTATATTGGGTGCCACTGTACAAGGATAGGTGGCAACATTTCCAACAGAAGTAAATAAGCATGAATTCTGAATTGAGTGTAATCTTTTCATATTGGGCTGTAGTATTAGAAAAGTGTTTCTGGCAGAGAATGAATAACAACCATATCCACTTAAAATTATAGCGGGGGAAGGGGTTAAGTAGACAAAATGCAATTTTCTAGCTGGAATGATGCCAGAACACCTAGATTAACATATTTACTCTAGCCAAATATACTACAAGACAATACTCTATTTCTGTGCTTTCCAAGGGAACAATACAGATAACAGGAAACATCATTATATACACTGACTGCAATTTAAATTATATCAGCGTAGAGCATCATGACATTGTCATCATGATATGAACTTCATAATGGAACTAGCAGTTTCCACGGCTGTAATTATAATTGTAATTCTCTTGGTAGTAGGGGATAGAATTAATATTTTGGCTCTTCGTGGGTGGCATGTGATTTTGTTCTTCATTGTTATTTTGGCTATATTTCCAGTAGAATCAGCCTCCAAGTGTTCAAAAAGACTGAGTCACAGACCCTCCCAAAGCCATGAGATTGGCTTAAAAAGTAGAGGGATTTATATCTTTTGAACCTATGGAGTACACTTAAAGCACATTGAGTGCTTTAAAATATGGCTTGAGTGTGCCCCAAAGGTTCAAAAGATATAAAACCCCTTACTTTTAAGCCAATCTCATGACTTTGGGAGGGATTATGACTAATTCTTTTTGAACACCCTAGGCTCCCTGCTCCCACATCTCCATGTGCCACTCCACGGCTGCCAGCAAGCCCCACATTGAGACACCCTGTGCCCCAGCCAGCCTCCCTCCTCTCCCCCCACAGCACACAAAGCCCTTCCAGGAGAAGCTGGGCATTCACACTTTGCCCACAGTAGGACAATGTGTCCTGCAGCAAAAGGCACATGTAGGGGCATGTGCTGTAGCACAAAGTAGCAGCACAAATTTGTGCTGCTACTATATGTGCCACTGAAAGCACATGCCCTTGTTTGTCTGGATGCGGCCAGAGTATCAGGTCTCTTGTCAGCTCTCTTGAGCCCCAGTTCTATGCCCTGTCTCCTTGGCTCTGTTTCTTGCTCCTAGAGTTGGGGCCTGCCCCCTCACAAAAGAGACCTGCTGCACCTCAGACATTTTCATCTCCAATGCTCTGAGTATATCAAAGCAAGAAATGATGCGTCCCATCACTAAGGCAATATCCATCCAACCCTTTACATTTGGGATGAACTAATAAGTAGGAAATTACACATTTTGAGCTGCTTTGCTCCATATCAACATCACGTACATTAACAGGTAGTGTACCACTATTGAAACAGAGCCTGCCTACCACCAAACAGGGAATAGATCACTCAAGAAATATCCAGTTCATTACTCTCCCTCCATAGCATTCACTTCTGCCACTGCAGGAGACAGAATAGTGGGCTTGATGGACTATTGGTCTGACCCAGTATGGCACTTACTATGTTCTTATGTTCTGACTATCACATGATGGGTGTTGACTTAAAAACAGTATTTAAAGGTCAGTTTTTTGGGAACTGGCTTATAGGTATAGATATATGCATTATAAGGGGTCAAGATGGGCAGCAGGGGTTAATTAGATTTCTAAACAGCTTGGGTGTGACACACAAAGCTTCTCATAGCCTTGGAAGCAGACAAACTGTCTAACACAACAAGGCCAACAAACGGACATGACCTAAGGATTGAGGGGGGCATGCCATAATACGAGATCACAGCACAAACAGGTTGTCTACCACAACAAGGACACAAAGCCTGGGAACTGAGGAAGTGTATACCGTACTGTCCCATAACATGAGATAAGTGACACTGGCAACAAGGCCTCAGAGAGCAGGGGGACCTCAGTCTCATTTTGGGGGAGCAGAACAAATTAGGAGAAAGCCCAGAAGGCTATGTGGACATGTGACCACAGAGAGACAACCAACCAGAGATAGCCACGGATGAAGAGTCATCAAGAGGGAAGGAGAATACAAAAGCAGAGGCTTTAGATTAACAAGGAGTTCCTTCCTGTCCCTCCTTCTCTTCCTCCTTGTCCCTCACCATCCTGCTCCCTGAGAGGGGTCCCCGTCCCCATCCACCAGGAAGGGTTCCTGAGGCCACCATAGACCGAGGGCATACCAGCAGCCCATCTAATGCACCCCACTGGAGGAGAAGCCATGGGCCTTGGCATCCCACCTCCAAACTGCTGACATGCTGTGTTGACATCTGATACCAAAGAAAAAGCCTCAGAAGTGAAGCCAAATGTACCTTGACTCTGATGACAGCTCTAGGATTGGTAGATATACAATTGTTTGATTGTTTGTATTGTTGGGTTTTTTGTTATTACTCTGTATCAATGAATTCACCTATTATCAACCAGTCGGTCTGAGGGTTCTGTCCACCCAGAACAAAGGTATAAGGGCTAGGTTCCTAAAATCCAGTGTCAACAGTGGGTACATGTTTTATTCTCCTAGAAAATGCTCTTGTTACATGACTATAAAGCCAATTCCTTGAGGTCAGTCCTTGTGGTAAGTAAGAGAAGTAATAAGATCAATTAAGCCATTTCTATTCCCAATAAGAAGGGATTTAAAAATATATATATTAGGAACAAAGAAACCTAGGTCTTGCATAGAACTGCTGTTCTGTGCAGGTGATAAAATTATAGTGATGCAAAAAAAAAGCAGAATAACCTATAGATATTTCTGATCTGTACTTGGAACAAACCATTAGGATGCCTTCATCCTGTATAATGCTCTTGCATAAATATTAAGCATTATGCTTTAACAAGGCTAAAAAGAAAGACCTACAAATGGAGGATGGGATTTACTTCCAAGGAGGAATATTCTGCACTGGTTTGGTCCTGCAGGGAGCTTGACCAATCTCATTACCTTCTATGACCAGGTGACCTATCATCTGGACAAGGGAGAAGAGATTGTTGTCATATATCTTGACTTCAGAAAAGCCTTCACTCTGGTATCCCATGATCACCTCTTGGCTAAACTAGCCAACTGTGGCCTTGGGCCCACCATGATCCGCTGGCTGGGGAACTGGCTCTGTGGTAGGACCCAGAGGGTTGTAATTGATGGCAGTCACTCATCATGGTGTCCTGTGACCAGTGGGGTCCCCCAAGGCTCTGTCCTTGGACCCATATTGTTAAACATCTTCATTAATGATGTGGACATTGGAGTCAGAGGTGGACTGGCCAAGTTTGCTGATGACACCAAACTTTGGGGCAAAGCATCCACACCTGAGGACAGGAGGGCAATCCAGGCTGACCTGGACAGGCTCAGCAAATGGGCAGACGAGAACCTGATGGTGTTTAACACCAGAAAATGCAAGATTCTCCACCTTGGGAGGAAAAACCTGCAGCATCCTTATAGGCTCGGCAGTGCTACACTGGCTAGCACTACAGAAGATAGAGGCTTGGGGATCTTCATTGACCACAAGATGAACATAAGCCTGCATTGTGATGCTGCAGCTAGTAGAGTGACCAAAACGCTGGCTTGCATCCATAGATGCTTCTCAAGCAAATCCCAGGACATCATGCTCCCCTTGTACTCGGCCTTGGTGAGGCTGCAGCTGGAGTACTGTGTCCAGTTTTGGGCCCC